TTTACTGAAAGATCTGCAAAAATAGTTAGTTGGATTGCAGAATAGAATATTAAAGCAGTGACATCGTTATTAACCTATGTGAACATTTCAAACTCGCCAAATCCTTACCATAATCTAGGCTAAATGTTTTAACGTCACGCTCCATGGAAAAACAACGAGGATCCTCATTTCGCTGGTCTTCTTTGCTGTTGTGTAGAACATACTGCAAGTTAATAGTGAGCGAAGCTTTACCCTAAATATAATGTTGGACCATTTTCAAACCCCATGTCTACATCGATTTCTCGTTTTCGGAAGGCGTGACTGGTTGTAGATTCAAAGGTCAGACGACAGAACTTTAAAATGTCGATCTTACTTAGGGAAGGACCGGGCGGACCATTAGAAAAGTGGTGTGGGGGAGGGGGTAGGGAAACAACAAAAATAATTCGAGCAAGGGTAAATGGCAGGAAAAAAATCATGCAAAGAGAAACCCAAAAAAAAATTCATGGAGAATAAGGGTCGCATTTTGGTATCAAACCAGTCTAATTATAACTCAGCCAAATTACAAAGTGCTCAAAACATTTTGGAGCGGAGAGCATTAAATTACGAAAAGGCTGACATAATCAGTGGAGTCTGGCATTACTACGTTGGGCTAAGGGAAAGGAATTCCAGAGGGAGAGGACTTAAACAGTGCACTGGGAAGCCTTCCACTCCAAATGGCTTTCTCCTCTTCCACTATGAATACATTTTGGAAAAGCTGTTGCATTAATCCTTTCATTAATTTAAAAGACACACCAAACAGCTTAACAACTCTCCCTTGAGAGGTCCTGTAACGGACCAGCATCCTGTGTCCACGACCTCTGGCAGAAAGCACAAGCGAAATGGGCTGGCCATCTTGTCTGAATGCCAGACAGTCGACTGCCCAAACGGCTGCTGTATGGAGAACTGTGTCAGAGCGAACGCTCAGTTGCATGCAAAGAATCCCTCAAAGACCTAGGTGCAGGCAGCAACGTCAATACTTTGGAGTAGCTTTCCTGGACAGTCCCATTAAGCGGAGGAAGATGAGGCCCAAAGCAAACGCGCGAAGCGCAGGCAAATATGGTAGGAAGTGGATTTTAAAAAGAATTGTCCAAAGGGTTGCAGTTGGAAAAAAAGTGTATTGCACAGTCAACTGGCAAAAAAACAAACAAACACTAGCCAAAAATCTCCCATCCCTTCCCCATCACTTTTCTAATGGTACGTTCCTGATAGGTTTCTCCTTGGTTTGGAAAAAATAGTGTTCTTTCGCATCAGAAAAATTGTCTAGCATTGCGGGTACTAACTACTATCCTTTATGAAGGATAGCAGGGAAGGTTCGTCGAAACCTGTGCTTCCTCATGGTTTACATTCAGCTGCACCAAATAGACTCCACCTTTGACGTCTTTCCTCGACCATCTCGTTTAAACGCGAACAATTGAAGAAAACCTGATCTGCCACCCGCACTGCTAGGCGATTTTTCCTATCCGAAAGAACATTTATGAATGTTTTCAAAACCAATGGGGAACCTTTAAGTAAGATCGACATTGTGAAGCTCTGAATTTGTAACGCGTCACGTACGCGTACGTCTTCCGAAAACGAGAAATCGATGTAAACAAGGGGTTTGAAATAGTCCCAACATTAAATTTAGGGCAAAGCTTCGCTCACTGTTAACTTGCAGTTTGTTCTACACAACAGCAAAAAAGACCAGCGAAATGAGGATCCTCTTTGTTTTTCCATGTAACCTGATGTTAAAAGTAGAATTTTAGCGGGTACATTTAGCCTAGATAACGGTAAGGAGTTGGCGAGTTTGCAATGTTAACATAGGTTAATAGCAATATCACAACAAATATTTTATTCTGCAGTCCAACTATCTATTTTTTGCAGATATTTCAGTAAATCACGGATGACAATCGCAGAAAGTCGGAATAAGGTGATATTCTTCGCTAAACATTTGGCGTGAAATATTTCTGACCAATGATTTTTTGGGGGCTTTGCGATTCCAATTACTCCGATTTGCTTGTAGATGCTAATTTTAATTTAACTGGATATTGATAACAGTGTAAAAGACTATCACAAAAATTCCTTTCTGTGGAAATAAAACTGCCGCACTTTGGAAGAAGAGTAGCTGACACAAAAATGGCGGGCTTACATAATATTCATGTAAATTGTGATGTTTTGTTTGCAACGAAATTGATGTGTTCTTTCCATTTCAATTGATAGTCGACTATGGTTCCAATACATTTTGTGTTTTTTTTTTTGCAAGAGTTAGAATGGCCTTAGGTGTCATGCAGGAAACGATGAGGGATGAGAGAGAGCAAGGTTTTGCATGCTAAGAATTAGGGGTGAATCGACCACTCGC